TTTGTTTTCTTCACGTTTGATTAATTTAACAATAGATTCAACAGGTACAAAGTTATAAGTATCTGTAAGTTGTACCAATGGACAATCATATTTATATAGTTGATTTCCAGTTTTGTATCGAAAGTCGTACAAAATTAAATATGTTAATAAGTAATTGCATCACAATACTAACGTAATATTGTAAACTTATTATAGATTATCGCGGAATTAAAGAATAAAACAACGTACGTACGTACGTACGTGAACAGATACACATGTATCCAAATAACCATGCGTATGTCCAAATATAACTACATATTAAAGCTCTACAATCCTTGGAAAATTTGATTGTAGAGTCGATTTTCGTTCACATGTACTGTTAAGTTATTACGCGTTTGTAGTACATGCGATTATGGCAATTACAATTCATTTCATATTTACAACTTTGAGCATTAGTCGTAATTAACTATTACTTACGGCTGACAACATTAAGTATTATTAAAACTCTAAATTTATTAGTCGCACCTTCCGATTAAAAAACTTTATAGTAAATCTCATTAAGAAAATGTTCTTTTGCAATAGAAAGGAACAAACTGTTTCAGGAATTTCGGCGCGAAAATCGATTGGCATAAAAAATTTTTAGGAGACTTGCACAACACCGATCACAATAAAATTGATTATATTACAAATTTAATTGTATTTTTATTAAGCTAATAATTATAACGACCTGATTTTAATTAGCGTTTCATTGATGATTTTGGCGGTTATGCTAGGAGGATTAAGTGTAACATATGTGTGTTCTTTTTTTTTTGAGGTAAAATCAAGTGTAGTCTAGTTACACATGAGTACTGATAAAATAAATTTCATTATCATTTATTGGGGCCGAGTATATATGCTTTCGATTACACATCATACAATATCTTGCTTAGCATTTAGGTGGTACTCATATGACGATAGATCAATACAAAAAAGATTAGAAATTGAAACTCACTATTTCGCAAGAACTCAACGAGAACTCCCATATAAAGAGGGATACCTTTCACCTAGATCATGACAGTTATATATTCCTATTTTGATATCAAACAGACCAGCCTCTATGATTTAAAAGCTAGAATTTTTGATGGCTTAAGGCCACTGTTCCAAAAATATATCAGAATTACTTTGCAGTATTATCACTCAATGTTGGGATGTTGAACCTTGTAGAAGACCAACAATTAGAGAATTAATAAAAGGTTTACTGTTCCTGAAATGGATAAAAAATAATCCCACGTTAGGAGAATTATGGATCTATATCAATATGTTTTTTTTTTTTATTGTTTAGTGATGTATTTTTTCTTTTCTTTTTTTTCGTATATTATCAGATTTACTTTATAGTATTGCGATTTTTATTCAAACGTGCTTTATTGAATTGGAAAAGTTATAGGCAAAAAAAAATAAATTCATTAAAACTCAATGATTTGGATCTAACAAACCTGACGTTAATTATCTAATATCGGTTTCCTTGACCTTTGGGACAACGATTCGCAAAGTGACCTTTTTCTCCACACTAAATATTAAAAAATGTTAATGTGTTTCAACAAACTTTGCTTAAATATTAAACTTTGGAATACCTTAAAACATGTAACTTCTGCCAGTGAACGGAAGGTATTATGATGAGATCCTGTACGCTGCAGTGTTTATATGAGTCTTAATAAATTTTGTAAGTTTGTATAATGAATACAATTAAGATAAACTCATTTACATTACCTCATCACTCTCACTAAGATTTCTGTGGAGACCATCTTCCTCATGACCATCGTGTTCTCTCTGAGCAGTTGGTAATTCATATTTTGGACTAACAAATGAATGAGTTTTAGAATAAAAAGATAAAATCAGACATAAAGGAATTTGCCAAGAGCAAAATAACTTACTGTCCGTTAGGACACTCTAATCCTTTAGGACAAAATCCGCTTAAGTACAATTGGCAAACAACTTTTCGAACGTGTTTGTGCCGACAATGAGGGCCTAATTTATAATAAATTTTAAATA